TCTCCTTCTTGAGCAGGAGAACATGCTCAGCGTGGCGTGGCATGGGCTGTGTCAACTCACCGTTCGGAAGCAGCGGATGGATCTCGGAGCGTCTCGAAGGTTCCTATTGACCGGTAAGTCCATAAGTGGCTTTGGCTGGCCTGGAGTGCGGGTTTAAGGGCCCCTCTCCTGAGAATCCCAGGAGAAGAGAGCAGTGCTGCGATCGATTCAGTGATGCCGTCCGCGGAGTGGGAAGGGCAGCTGTTGGTGCGAGTGCCCGGGTGTGTGGACCAGGGTCCGACATCGAGCCTCGGATTCTGGCACTGCGGCGCCTCCCCTGACGCTTGTTGCGGGAGGAGGCAACACCTAAGGATCACACGAGTTTAGAGATACGAGAACATGTTTTCTTGGAGTGGGCCTGCCGTATGTGCTTTGCCGTACTGGGAGCCCCAGATAGCCCTGGTGGAATGGGTGTTTCGTCCCCGGGCCCCCCCTTTTCGCAGATGGGGGAAACTGGAGGCTCTGTGCTGTCAGCAATCATCAGGTCCTTACGTTTAACAGGTGGCTTCACACCCGGGGCCTTTCTGATTCCATAGTTTTTAAAATAAAGTAATTTCATTAGTTGGTAAAAGTGTCTTTGAAGCAAAGGAGAAAAAAATAGAGGAAAAATGTAAATAAAATTTAAAGTAATAATATCATCATGACACCTACGTAAAAGTTTCTCGTTTGTGTGTCGGTAGGCATGCCAAATATGCTTATTTATCCTCACTCAGAAAGGGCACTGTTTTAGGCACTTAGCTTTGTTGTCTAAACTCTACTGAGACCAGGAAAGAGACAGAAGTCAGGATCGCAGGGTTGGGAGGGTAATAGAAGCACCTGTGACTGATTAAAGAAAGAAGATAAAGGGATCGTGCGGGCGTGTCCCTTTGTAGAAGTGAAGCCCCAGGGGGCGGAGCGGCTGTGGCTCACCCTGTCACCCCAGCCACTCTGGAGGCCGGGAGGCGGAGCTCGCTCGAGATCAGGGAGTTCGAACCGGCCTGAGCAAGGAGTGGAGACCCCGTCTGCTACTTAAATAGAAAGAAATTAATTGGGCCAACTAAAATATAGAAATTAGCCGGGCGGCGTATGGTGGCGCTGCCTGTAGTCCAGTACTCGGGAGCTGGGGGCGGGGAGATCGCTCGAGCCCAAGAGTTCTGGGTTTGCTGTGAGCGAGGCTGACGCCGGTCTCCTTAGCCGGGGCGACAGAGTGGAAATTCTGGTTTCAAAAAAAAAAAAAGCAAGAAAGAAATGAAGCCCATAGGGTATGAATTAAAAAATGAAAAGAATAAAACCAGAGTTTAGCATTAGTTTGCAAAAGCCTCGTAACTGAAGAGGCGCGTGTTCCTGCCTAAAATTAACGGGAAGGTCATGTTTATTTTTCAAAATTTAAACTCTTATCTTACTGGGTTTTACAGATTGTTAGAAAAATAAAGTTGTTCCCTGGAAAATGCACAAAGACACAAATCAAGCCTAAAGAAGGTCTTCTTTCTTCTCTCAGCCCCAACAGTCAATATAAGGACGATTCATGCTAATTATTGCCAAGTGGCTGCGCCCATAACTGAGGGGATTGTTACTAAGGGGTCAGACTCTAACACAGCTTTTCCCAGAGCGTGTTTGTGGATCACTAGTTCCACAGGATGACCCGCGGCAAGCCAGTTATGTGTGCAAAGCCTCACCGACTGACTCCTTCCCCGTGTGGAGATTCTTAAAGCCAGACCACCATTTTGAAGGCCCTGACAAGTCCTGCAGTGTAGAAACCTGTTCAATTCAGCAGTTCTCCAAATCCTCAACTGGGGCGACACAGACGTACTCACACGTTTTCTTCTCAGTTTCCACTTAGCAGCCAATGCTTTGCAGTATGCTTTTCTGAAAGCACGATTGTATTTTATATTTCCTGTGCAATGAACGGAAGGATTGCAAAGCCTCTATTTTATTTCCCGTGCAATGAACCGAATGATTGCAAAAACGATGACTTTTGAGACCACGGTCCAGGCAGGGCAAGACCAGGAAGCAGAAGGTAGAGGCATTTTTGAGATGATCTTTTCTAAGGCGCTGCTGTGCCCTTTCCAGAACCTTCCGGGCTCTCTGCTGAGTTTCCGGGGACCGTGCGAGCATCGGGGAGATTGGACTCTGCCCTCCCTCCCGGGCTGCTAGTGGGTCAGGACGCCTGCTTCCCTTGCCCAGGATGGAAAATAACCTTTCCCTAGGAAATGGTGTCGACGCCAAAGAGAAGGTGGCCAGCCGCCAAAGAGCAGATGAAAGTTGCAGCTGCCTCTGCTGAGCTGGGCCTCATTCCTGCCCCACTTCCTGCAGGAAGTGAGGGTTCACCCCGTGGCAGGATGAGATAAAGCCTTGTTTTAGGACTCTGCGCTGACAACACCTTTGTACCAGAAGGGCTCAGTCATTGTCCCCAACTCCACCTGCCAGATGGTCAACTCTGACCTACTTCGGGGCATTAGCCAGAAATTCCAAGACAGGCGCGCGCACGCGGCCAGGACTCCTGTTCCTTTTCCTGAGTCCCCCCTTCCCCACCCCCCACCCCCGGACAGGTGTGTGTGGGAGGACTCTGGGGACGTGAGCAAAATCCGCACACCGCCCGGATTCTGAGCAGCCAGGGAACGAACCGACAAGGGTGCAATCACATGAAGATGATAAAGAAATTATTCTGTTTGGATTTGTCAATCGAATCGACAGAATCCATTTGAAGCTCATTTCTTTAGACTGTTCTGCTCAGCTCATGCATTTTATTTATTCGCTTTTTAAATTTAAGCCCTGCTGATTATGATCCTGGGGCATTAAAAGAACTGGATGAGGCCGGGCGTGGTGGCTCACGCCGGAAATCCTAGCACACCTGGGAGGCCGAGGCTCGAGGATCGTTCAGCGTCAGGAGTTCGAAACCAGCCTGAGCAAGAGCGAGACCCCGTCTCTACTAAAAATAGACAGAAATTAATTGGCCAACTAAAAATATATAGAAAAAATGAGCCGTGCATGGTGGTGCATGCCTGTAGTCCCAGCTACTCGGGAGGCTGAGGCAGGAGGATCGCTTGAGGCCAGGAGTTGGAGGTTGCTGTGAGCGAGGCTGACGCCACAGCACTCTAGCCTGGGCAACAGAGCAAGACTCTTGTCTCAAAAATAAAAATAATAAAAAAAAGACCCAGACGATTCATCAGCATATACTAAGCACCTACTGTGTACCCAAAAAGTCTCATGATAAGTATTGGGGATTCAAAGGCAACAAAGATTTATAGATTCAAATCTAATTTTCAACGTGTATCATTGAGTGATGTAGAATATAGTCTATACCTTCAAGGAATGTAGAGTCCTTAGTCACAGATATTATGTGCACTGGGTCTAGCACACTTGAAATTCACAATTACAGTCCCAATTATTCATTCCTCAATTAATTCACAGAATGCAATAATTGAGCACTTTCTAGCCTAGGCCCACATCGAAAGAGGGTTTTTAGGTTGAATTTCCAACATTGCTTCTCTGTTAGGAAAAGACAGATGACATAGTGGACTGCATGAACCTTTTAAATGTAAAATTGCTTTTTTTTTTTTGCTCTGTTGAAGTCCAACGTGTGTGTGTGTGTGTGTGTGTGTGTGTGTGTGTGTGTGTTTTCCTTTTGGTTGCTTGAATCTCAGATCGACTGTCTCAGGGGAAGATCTTGACGCAGGTAGGATCTCCGGCTGTCATTCCGTGATTGCCAAGTGCCTTGGCAACCAGGAAAAATATATGGATATATGTTCATTTAAAGTGGGATTTTTTTAGTGACTGCCTGTGGCTTTGAGCTTCCTGGTATTTGAGTTAAGGAAGAAAAAAATAACTCTCCTCCCAGTTGGATGAATAGATGAGGCGCATCTATTTATTTCACGGTGGTGTCGGCTTCTCGTTTGTGACGCCCAGGTGGCACGTGGCCGGCAGGAGCGAGTGTAGCGCCCAGTGTGGCTTGGGCTACCGCACGCTGGACATCTACTGCGCCAAGTACAGCAGGCTGGATGGGAAGACCGAGAAGGTGGACGACAGCTTCTGCAGCGGTGACCCCAGACCAAGCAACCGGGAAAAATGCTCCGGAGAATGTAACACCGGCGGTTGGCGCTATTCTGCTTGGACCGAAGTGAGTCGGCGCTCGTTTGCAGACGGTCCTCTTGGCCTCTAAGTCTGATGAGCCGATGGTGGTGGCTCCTTGCAGGGTCGTGCAGAGAACGCAATATTTAAACTAGATGGAAAAGAGAACTGTGGTTTCTTTGCAATGCCTGAGTTTAGCCAAGCCCTGCAGAAAAGAGTGTCGTGATCGATTAGTAATGTCTGACACGGGCAGGGCAGGCGGCAGCTCCAAAGTGGTGGAATAGCGCCCGCCGGTCCCTTTCCAAACTGCACGGGCCGTTTCCGATTCTTATTTCTGTAATGCCGCCGAGCTAATATTGACTTGCCAGGTTATCACCCTGGTAAACAAATCGGTGGCTCTAAAATACCTCCCCCGAGATAACAACGAGAGGAGCCAGGGTTGCTTGGTTGTTTCTTAAACAGCGGTCCCCAACTTTTTTTTTTTTTTTTTTGCACACCTGGGCCTGGTTTTGTGGATTTTTCCGAAGACCGGGAGGGGTGAGGGGCGGGCACGGCCGTCTCAGACCGCCAGGCATCAGAGTCTCATAAAGAGAGCACAACCCAGGCCGGGCGCGGTGGCTCACGCCTGTAATCCTAGCACTCTGGGAGGCCGAGGCGGGCGGATTGCTCAAGGTCGGGAGTTCGAACCATCCTGAACGAGACCCCGTCTCTACTAAAAATAGGAAAGAATTAATTGACCAATAAAAATATATATACAAAAATGAGCCGGGCATGGTGGCGCATGCTGGTAGTCCAGCTACTCGGGAGGCTGAGGCAGGAGGATGGCTTGAAGCAGAGTTTGGCGGTTGCTGTGAGCGAGGCTGACGCCACGGCACTCACTCTAGCCTGGGCAACAAAGCGAGACTCTGTCTCAAAAAAAAAAAAAAAAAAAGAGAGAGCACAACCCGGGTCTTGGATCTCTTGCACGTGGGGTTCTCGCTCCCGTGAGAATCTAACGCCGATCCGACGGGAGTCGGAGCTCCGGCTGGGATGCGGGTGACGGGGAGCGGCTGTAAACACAGACGAAGTTTCTCTCGCTCGCCTTATCCCGTGCGGCCCGGCTCCCAGCAGGCCGGTCAGTCCTCGGCCAGTCCGGGGAGCTTGGGGACCGCAGTTAAAGACGGGAAGAGACCGCACCGCCAGGACCTTGAGCGGGTGTTCTGCAGCTCTCTGTGTCCGCAGTGTTCTAAGAGCTGCGAGGGCGGGACCCAGAGGAGACGGGCCATCTGCGTCAACGCCCGCAACGACGTGCTGGACGACAGCAAGTGCTCGCACCAGGAGAAAGTCACGGCTCAGAGGTGCAACGAGTTCCCGTGTCCCCAGTGGAAATCCGGAGACTGGTCAGAGGTGAGACGGGCGGCTGCTATTTGCACCAGGTCGTCTCTGGTGTTCCCATTTGGGGGTCCCCCTTCCTGGTCTGCTTAAGGCTAACCCTGCTGCCCCTTCCTCCTGCCCACCCCGCCTCGAGGAAACAACTGCATTTCTCCGCCTGCACCCAGACTGCAGAGCCCGCAGGGCGCGGCGGCTCACGCCTGCAATCCCAGCACTCTGGGAGGCCGAGGCGGGAGGATCGCTTTGAGCTCAAGAGTTCGAGGCCAGCCTGAGCAAGAGCGAGACCCCCTGTCTCTACTAGAAATAGAAAGAAATTAGCCAAGCAACTAAAAATATATAGGAAAAATTAGCCGGGCATGGTGGCACATGCCTGTAGTCCCAGCTACTCAGGAGGCTGAGGCAGGAGGATCGCTTGAGTTCAGGAGTTGGAGACCAGCCTGAGCAAGAGCCAGACCCCGTCTCTACTATAAATAGAAGGAAATTAGCCAAACAACTAAAAATAGAAAAAATTAGCCAGGCATGGTGGCGCATGCCTGTAGTCCCAGCTACTGGGGAGGCTGAGGCAGGAGGATCGCTTGAGCCCAGGAGTTTGAGGTTGCTGTGAGCGAGGCTGACACCACGGCACTCTAGCCTGGGCAACAGAGTGAGACTCTGTCTCAAAAATAAATAAATAAATAAAATAAAAAAGACTGCACAGCAGGATGGGACTAGTCTACCGGTCACCTCAGAGTCGCTGTGGGCCCGGCTGGGTCTCCCACCCTTTGTGGCTTCTGTTGATGATTTCCAAGTTCCAGTCCCTCCCCTTTGAGCCCTAGCTAAGTTGCTAAAAAGAAATTAGGGCTTTACTCATCATGAAGCCATACTAGCCTAGATCTGAGGTTAATCCTGAGGTTTCCTGCTTCGGCTTTGATTTCGGAGAGAATTAGACCTCAGCCAGGGACCTCTCGGCTTTACCCATCCCGGTTGCTAGGGGAAAACGTGCAATCCAGAGAAACAGCCCGGGCCGAGTGTTCCAGATCTGTCCCTTTCTCGTCCCTTACTTTATGCAGCACGAGGTGAGTCCTCTGTACAGGTCCCAGGGAGATTGTCCCCAAGCAGGTGACTCTCCCGTTTTCCTTAAGCAGGAGCAAGTGCAAGGGGAGCCGAGGTTTTCTTATTTACAGGCCAAGTCAGGAATGTGGGGAAGGAACAGCGGTTTCCCGCTGCAGTTGCTGCCCGCATGCCCTTAGCTCCTCCTTATCCGAGCAGAATTAACTGTTGACTCCCACCATCCAACAAAGCGGGAATTTGAGAAAGGATACCATTAATGAAGGATGCCATTAAGGGTACCATTAATGCCCATGGAATGGGACACGATTAATAGCGCCTGTGATTAGCAGTGTCTGATTTCTGGACACACGAACAACAGACCTAGCGCTTTAGTTCTAGGTTAATAACGCTGCTTTTGCTTAAACTCCAGGATTTGGTTGAAAAAGATAAAAGGGTGTCTGGTTTTAGATTTTACTAATATAGCTAATATTATTAATATATTAATAGCTAATATATTAATATAATATAATAGCTAATACATTAATATATAATATATAATCTAATATATAATATAATGATATAATTAATATATAATATTAATAGCTAATATATTAATATAATATAATATATTAATATTATATATTAATATATTACAAATATAGCTAATATTATTAATAGCTAAAGTATCATTTCAAATTAAGTAACGAACCTTTACAAAAATGTTTGATAATAATAGGGGGAAGATCAAACTGGAAATTCAGTTTGATCCAAAGTCGCTTACATAAAAAGACCGGAAAGAAAACAGCAAAAATGTTGATAGCAGTTATCCTTGCGTAGTGAGATTTTTGGGTCATTATAATTGCCCTTTTATTTTTCTCTGTGTTTTTTAAAATTTCCTACAGTGAACATGGATAATGATGATTATATTTCGCATTTACTGAGTGAACATTGCGCTGAGCGCTTCACTTGGCTTTTTTTTTTTTCCCCCACTTAATTTTCCGAACGCTTTGGCCGTTCATGTTATGCCCATTTTCCGGATGAGAACATTGAGGTCCAGAGAAAAACCGTGCGAGTCGGTCGCATAAGGGTTGAAACCCGGGTTGGTCTGACTCGTGCTTAAACGTGCTCACGCTGGAAAAACCGCAAGTGTTTCTTGTCCAGCGATGGAGAGCTCGGTGCTCTGTCGAGTTTATTCTGTGCTCGAAACTGGCGGAGAGACCATAAATACAGAATGAATGAATGAATGAATGAATGAATGAATGAAAAAAAAACGAGGCTTGGCGTGTGTGCAGATTGCCGCGGGAGGAGGGAACAGCAGCACGCCTGTCCCTGCCGGTCGGTGGGTGGCCTGACCGGCGCTGCCTTCCCTTGCAGTGCCTGGTCACCTGTGGCAAGGGGCACGCCCACCGCCAGGTGTGGTGCCAGCTTGGCGAAGATCGGCTGCACGACAAGATGTGTGACCCCGAGGCCAAGCCGGCCCCCACGCAGCCGTGCCAGCAGCCGGAGTGTGCGTCCTGGCAGACGGGCCCCTGGGGACAGGTATCTGGAACATTCCTAGCTGCACTCTTTCCTCCTCCTCCTCCTCCTCCTCCGGAGAGGGCTTCCTCTCGGGAGGGAGGGAGGGAGGGGCCGGGGACTCTGCCACCCTGTCCCCCACCCACGCCTGAGCGTCCCCGCCCGCCCTGCTGGAGCTGATTGGTCGTCCCTTGTGCAAAGTCACCGGAGTGTCCTCGCCCCTTGGCTTAGACGGCGGTGGCCCCTGCTCAGGAGCTGTCGCCCAGATCCGCGGCCGGTCTCCCGTCTGGCCGGTGCCCTCTCCTAGCCTGGCTCCCAGTGGCCGTCCCACACTGCCACCCGGCCAGCACCGGACCCCGGGGCCGCAGGAGGGGCAGGAGTGGGATTTGCAAGGGACGTTTTGGGTCCAGCGTCACCACTCCAGAGCTGGCCCCTCGGGAATGAGTCCAGACCCTCCGAACGCGGTTAGTTAGCTCCAAGCTTGCAGCATCCTCACGCTTCGGAAGGGATCTTTTCTGAGTCCCCTCGTCTGTGTGTTCTGCAGTCTTAACTTGAACCATTCTTTTTTTTTTTCTTTTAGCATATCATGGGGGTACAAGTGTTAAGGTCACGTATATTGCCCATGCCCCCTGCTCATCCTTTTTTTTTTTAATTTTTTTTCTTTTAGCATATTATGGGGGTACAAGTGTTAAGGTCACGTATATTGCCTATGTCCCCTACTCATCCTTTTTTTTTAATTTTTTTTCTTTTAGCATATTATGGGGGTACAAGCATTAAGGTCACGTATATTGCCCATGCCCCCTGCTCATCCTTTTTTTTTTTTAATTTTTTTTCTTTTAGCATATTATGAGGGTACAAGTGTTAAGGTCACGTATATTGTCTATGCCCCCTGCTCATCCCTTTTTTTTAAATTTTTTTTCTTTTAGCATATTATAGGGGTACAAGTGTTAAGGTTCCATATATTGCCCATGCGCCCCTCCCCCCTCAAGTCAGAGCTTCAAGCGTGACCATCCCCCAAACGTTGCACATCTCACTCGTGTTTGTATACACTCCTCCCCTCCTCCCTCCCACCCGCCCGACAACCGATAAATGTTACTCCTATATGTCAACTGAGGTGCTGATCCGTTAATACCAATCTGCTGGTGAGTCCATGTGGTGCTTGTGTTTCCATTCTTGGGATACTTCACTTAGTAGTTGGGTTCCAGCTCTAGCCAGGAAAATACAAGAGGTGCTAGATCACCGTTGTTTCTTAGAGCTGAGTAGTACTCCATGGTGTACATATACCACATTTTACTAATCCACTCATGGATTGATGGGCACCTGGGTTGTTTCCACAGCTTTGCAATTGTGAATTGTGCTGCTATAAACATTCGAGTGCAGGTGTCTTTTCCATAGTGTGACTTTTGATCTTTGGGGAAGATGCCCAGTAGTGGGATTGCTGGATCCAATGGTAGATCCACTTGTCTCGCTTTGAGGTATCTCCATATTGCTTTCCACAGAGGTTGCACTAGTTTGCAGTCCCACCAGCAGTGCAGGAGTGTTCCTCTCTCTCCTTAACTTGAACCATTCTTAAAAATAGAGAGTGAAAAGCTCCCCGTGGGCTTGCCTGGGAGAAGCCACCGCTCTTGGAGTTAATGCACTCGCTTGCTTTTTTTCTCGATTCCTTTATTTTACTCGGGATGTAATTTTTTAAGTACCCCAGATTTTACAAAGCGCGGCAGTAGAATACAAAACTGGGGTTTCTTTTCATGCAAACTTATTTATTGAGATTTTTTTTTGTATTTCAAATTATTGATACATTCAAAGATAATAATTTTATTTTTTTTTTCATAGATAGAAGCTCGAGTGTGAAATAATTTTAATCTCTATAATTTTTGCTAACCGTGTCGAGTCACACTCAACATCCAAGTGCAAAGGGCTAAGTCCTTCCTAATATAGAAGCAGAAAGCAGCGTTCTGGGGACTATTTGAGGAGCACTCTTGAATTCCCAACGGCAGTCGAGCAGCTGTCTTCTGTCACTTACGTAATCCGTTCAAGAATGACACCCCAGCCCCTCCTCTCTGACCAGCCACAGCCATTTCTGTTCTTCAGCCTCTGTCTTCATTTCCAAATATGCATGCAATGCGTGCTTTATTATTGCACCGTTGCAATTTCTTTCGCTAATAGTGACAATCTTCTGAATCTTTCCCCATTTGCCAGCATCTGCAGTCCGAATGGCTGATGATGTGTGAACAAACAAGGGACAGTCCACTTAAATGCTTTGGATCTTGCCTCCTTTTCTTCTCCATCTGCATAACTTTTAGGGAATAATAGGAGGAGGAGAGCACAGCTCAGGGTCACTGTCCAGATTTGGCTAGAACATCTATTAGAACTGACTATTCATGTCTACTCCTGGCCCTTCCTGGCCCAGATTATGTGCACAGATTTGTTCTTTCTTTGGCTGAACATGCCATTCAGGAAAACAGTTTCTAAAATGTTATTTAAGAGTGACACATACTCATAAGAGAAATTTTGCAGACTGTCTTTTAGCAAAAAGAAGAACACCACACTTCTAACTCTATGCTGCAGGGATTCCTAGTGTTAACGTGGTTATGATTTTCTTCTAATACTTTTAAACTAATATTTGGATTGTGCCCTGCCTATTTTTTTTTAATTGAAATGAAACTCATAGGCCGGGCGCGGTGGCTCACGCCTGTAATCCTAGCTCTCTGGGAGGCCGAGGCAGGAGGATCGCTCGAGGTCAGGAGTTCGAAACCAGCCTGAGTAAGAGCAAGACACCGTCTCTACTAAAAATAGAAAGGAATTAATTGGCCAACTAAAAAAAAAATATGTATATATATATAGAAAAAAACTAGCAGGCATGGTGGGCGCATGCCTGTAGTCCCAGCACTCGGGAGCTGAGGCAGGAGGATCGCTTGAGCTCAAGAGTTTGAGGTTGCTGTGAGCGAGGCTGACGCCACAGCACTCACTCTAGCCAGGGCAACAGTGAGACTCTGTCTCAAAAAAAAAAAAAAAGAAAGAAATGAAACTCATATAACAAAATTAACCGTTTTTGGTTTTTTTTGTTGTTTTTTTTTTTTTTTTTTTGAGACAGAGTCTCACTTTGTTGCCCAGGCTAGAGTCAGCCTCGCTCACAGCAACCTCAAACTCCTGGGCTCAAGCGATCCTCCTGCCTCAGCCTCCCGAGTAGCTGGAACTGCAGGCATGCGCCACCGTGCCCGGCTAATTTTTATATATTTTTTAATTGGCCAATCAACTTCTTTCTATTTTTAGTAGAGATGGGGTCTCGCTCTTGCTCAGGCTGGTCTCAAACTCCTGACCTTGAGCGATCCTCCCGCCTCGGCCTCCCAGAGAGCTAGGATTACAGGCGTGAGCCACCACGCCCGGCCAAAATTAACCGTTTTAAATGAACAAATCGGTCACATTTAATACATCATAATGTTTTGCAACCACCACCTCTATCTAGTTCTGAAACATTTTCACCCCCAAAAGAAACCATGCACACATTAAACGGTTGCTCCCAACCCCCCAGCCCCTGGCACCCACCAATCTGCATTCTGTCTTTATGGACTTACCTTTTCTGGAAGTTTCATAGAAATGGCTTCTTTCACTTGGCATAATGGTTTCATATTTTAGCATGTGTCCGTACATTGCTACTTTTTATGGCTGAGTGATACTCCATCGTACGGTTATACCATAACTTGTTTATCCATTCATCTCAGACAGACATTTGGGCTGTTCCCACATTTTGGCTACTATGAATAATGCTGCTATGAATATTTATGGACCAGCATTCATTTTACTAGCTGATGTCACTTCTTTTGGATATATACCTAGGATTGGAATTGCTGGATCCATGTAGTAATTCTTTTTTTTTTTTTTTTAACACTTTTTTTCTTTTGCAAAAGCCTTGTGAACATGTAGTAATTCTTTATTTAACTTTTCAACTGCTAAATGGTTTTCCACCGCATCTGCATCCTTTTACATTCTTACCAGCAATTTACAAAGATTTCCATTGCTCCACATCAGCAATTGTTGTCACACTTTCCGTTTTTTTTTTTTTTAATTATAGCTCTCCTAGTGGTGTCTCACTACGGTTTTGGTTTGTATTTCCCTAAATAACAAGAGCTATTGAGCCTCTTTTCATGTGCTTGTTGGTCATTTGTATATCTTCTTTAGAGAAATGTCTATTCAAATCCTTTGCCTGTTTTTTAAAAATTCGTAATTGTGGTAAAATACATTTAACGTAAAATTTACCATTTTAGCTGTTTTTAAATGTACAGTTCAGTACTATTCCTTTTCACATTTTTTTAACCCAATTGTTTGGCTTTTTTTGTTGTTGGGTTGTAGGAGTTCTTTATGTATTTTGGGTATCGATCCCATATCAGTTATATGATTTACAAATATATTCCCTCATCCCCTGAATTGCCTTTTCACTCTGCTGATAGTTTTCTTTGAGCACAAAAGATTTTAATCTTAATAAAATGCCATTTGTCTGGTTTTTTTTGTTGCCTGTGCTTGTGATATCTTGTGATATCATAACAAAGAAATCATTGCCCAATCCAATGTCAGGAAATTCTTTGGTATTTTTTAAAGAGTTTTATAGTTTTAGCTGTCATGTTTGGGTCACCGATCCATTTCAAGTTAATTTTGATATATAGTGTGAGGTAGGATTCCACTTGTTCCAGCCCCACTTGTTGAAGACACTATTCTGTTTCCATTAAGTGGTTTTGGTGCCCTTCTTAAAAATCACTTGGTAAAACACATATAGGTTTATTTGTGGACTCTGAATCCTATTCCATTGGTCTATGCCCTTATGCCAATACCATGCTGTTTTGATCACTGTAACAGGTTTTGAAATCGAGAATTGTGAGTCCTCCTACTTTGTTCTTCTTTTCAAATATTGTTTTGTCCATTTGGGGTCTCTAGCCGTTTCATATGAATCTGAGGGTCAGCTCTTCCACTTCTTCAAAAGGGTCATAAGGATTTTGATTGGGCTTGCATTGAATCTGTGGATCAGTTTGGAGAATATTACCCATTTTAGCAATACCAAATGTTCCAGTCCATGAACATGCAATGTCTTTCCATTTCTTTCATTTCTTTCAGCAGTGTTTTATAGTTTTTATTGTATATGTCTTTTACCTCTTTATTTAAACTTATTCCTAGGCATTTTTTTCTCTTGTATGTAATTATGAATTAAATGAAATTATTTTTTTTTAATTTCCTTTTGGGATTGTTCACTGCTGCTGTATAGAAACATAACTGATTTTTCTTATAAAATATGTTTTTCTTATACCCTGCTATGTCACTGAATTTGTTTATTAGCTCTAGAAGTATTTTTTACAGATTCTTGGGATGTCTAAATATCGTATGAGGACATCTGTAAATAGAAACTTTTATTTCTGCCTTTCCAATTTCCATGCCTTTTAATTTTTTCCCCTGCCTGCTTTCTCTGGCTAAAACTTCCAGTACAAGGTTGAATAGCAGTGGTGAGAACAGGCATCCTTGGTATGTTCCTGATCTTGGGGGAAGGTATGAAGTTAGCTGAGGGTTTTTCCTCAGTGCCTTGCATCATGTTGAAGAAGTTCCCTTCTATTGCTAGTTTTTTGACAGTTTTTATCATGAAAAATCTGTTGAATTTTTTCAAATGCTTTCCTCAATTGAGATGGTCATGTGGTTTTTTTTTTCTGCGTTGTTTTATTAATGTGGTGTATTGCATTGATTGATTTTTTTTTTTTTATGTTGGACCACCCTTACATTCCTGGACTAAATCCCACTTGGCTGTGATGTATAATCCTTTTAATATGCTATTGGATTCAATTCTCTGGTATATGGTTGATGATTTTTGTTATCTGTATTTATAAGCAATATTGGCCTGTACTTTTCTTTTTGTTGTGTTATCTTTGGCTTTGTTACCAGGGTAATGCTGGCCTCATAGAATGGGTTAGGAAGTGTTTCCTCCTCTTCAATTTTTTTGGAAGCATTTGAAAATAATCGGTGTTAATATTTCTTCAAATGTTTGGCAAAATTCATCAGTGAACTGGTCTTGGGCTTTTCTTTGTTGGGAAGTCTTTGATTATTGGCTCAATCTCTTTACTTCTTAGAGATCTGTTCATATTTTTTATTCTCCTTAATTTTTGTGATTTGTGTTTCTAGGCAATTGTATGTGTTTGATAATTTGCATGTGTCATCTAGTTTAACATGTCGGCATACGATTATTCACAGTGCTCTCTTCTAATTCTTTTTATTGCTATAGGGTCAGTAGTAATGTCATCTCTTTCATGTATGATTTTTGAAGTCTTCTCTTTTTTTCTTAGTCTTTCTAGCTAAAGGTTAGTCAATTTTATGGATCTTTTCAAAGAATCAATTTCTGTTTTTATTGATTTTTCTTTATTTTTTTTTTATTCTCTACTCCGTTTATCTCCACTCTAATCTTTATTATTTTCTTCCTCCTCCTGGTTTTAGGTTTACTTTGCTTTTCTTTTTCTGGTTCCTTAACATATAAAGTTGATTTGAGATCTTTCTTCATTATTAATGTAGGTGCTTGCAGCTATAAATTCCTCTGTGAACATTGCTTTCACTGCATCTCATAAATTTTCTTATGTTCTGTTTTCATTTTTATTCCTCCCAAAGTATTTTCTAATATCCCTTGTGGTTTCTTCTTTGACTTATTGGTTGTTTAAGAGGATGTTATTCGATTTCCACTTACTTGTGGATTTTTTAGTTTTCCTTCTGTTATTGATTGCCCTTGCCTCAATCCATTGTCATCAAAGAAGATATTTTGTGGCAATGTAATCCTTTTAAACATATGAAGACTTGTTTTTTGGCTTAATGTATGTTCTGTCTTGGAAAATGTTCCCTGTGCATTTGGGAGGAATGTGTATTGTGGTAGATGGATAAGAAAAAAAAAATGCCATCACACTTTCTGATCAAAATTTGGCAACTTTTTTCTTCATTAAGCACTCGCCTAGTTGCTGTAAGTTTCTTATTAGATTCCAGAGTTCTAAAAAAGTTGACCCTACTGGTTCTTGCCAACTTACTATAGTTTATTTCAGTGGAAGGACCAATTCTTAGATCTCTGCTCTGCCATTTCTGTGACTTCACTCCTCCTACTTCACTATCTTGTAGATGACTTTTTGTAACATAACAATTTGCCTTTTAATGGCTACATTGTTTTCTTTGCTACCTCTGTGTGCCACAGTCTATTCAACTTTTGCTTGCTATATACTTAAGCGGCGTTCAATATTTTGTCGTGTTTCATGAATAACACTGCGAAAACCATCTTGTATAAAACATATTGATGCAAACTCCAAATATTTCCTCAACACACAGTTTCCTAGAAGTCAAACAAGGTCACAGGGCTGCATTGACACCTGCGTTAGCCACAGCACTCTGCCAGGTGTAGCATAAAAACCACGGAGGTGCCCTGCCCTTGTTCTAGGAGTTCTCGGTCAAGGACTTGAACCCCTACGCATAGAGTTCCAGTGGGGGGCAGAAGTAATTCCAAGTGACATCATGATAGTTAATCAGTATAATTTGTGCAGAATAGGATTGTCCACTTTTTTTTTTTTTTTTTTTTTTACCTAATTTTACCCCTTGGCCTACTCTGATGGAAGTATTTTTTTCTTTTGGAAAATGTTATGGGGAAAGTAAGGGAAAGAGAAGATTGGCTGAATGTGTGTATCTTTTTTTGTCTCATTTCCTTCCTCCAGTGTAGTGTCACCTGTGGACAGGGGTACCAGCTAAGGGCAGTGAAGTGCATCCTTGGGGTGTACATGTCGGTAGTGGACGATAATGACTGCAACGCAGCCACTAGACCCACTGACACCCAGGTGAGTGTGAGCCCCCTTTGTCCAACTCAGTTACTGGCTTCGGGCACCAAGATGTCAGGGCTTTCCAGCGGTCCAGACAAAATTGAAATCCTTCCATAGATTATGTCAGTGGAGCAGCCAGTTGATTAACTAAATTGTCCAGATTTACCTGTCTTGTTACCTTCCATTTAGAATCTAATACTTAGACGTACCTGTTTTGTTCTTCTGGAGTCATTTGAGATATATGAGATGTATCTTTGAGACTCATCAAGTCTATAGTCTCAAGTCTCAAGATATATCTTTTGAGACTCATCAAGTCTATAGTCTCAAGTCTCAAGATATATCTTTTGAGACTCATCAAGTCTATAGTCTCAAGATATATCTTTGAGACACATCAAGTCTATAGTCTCAAGTCTCAAGATATATCTTTGAGACTCATCAAGTCTACAGTCTCAAGTCTCAAGATATATCTTTGAGACACATCAAGTCTCAAGTCTCAAGTCTCAAGATATATCTTTGAGACTCATCAAGTCTATAGTCTCAAGTCTCAAGATATATCTTTGAGACTCATCAAGTCTATAGTCTCAAGTCTCAAGATATATCTTTTGAGACTCATCAAGTCTATAGTCTCAAGTCTCAAGATATATCTTTGAGACTCATCAAGTCTATAGTCTCAAGTCTCAAGATATATCTTTGAGACTCATCAAGTCTATAGTCTCAAGTCTCAAGAATATATCTTTGAGACTCATCAAGTCTGTAGTCTCAAGTCTCAAGTCTCAAGAATATATCTTTGAGACTCATCAAGTCTATAGTCTCAAGTCTCAAGAATATATCTTTGAGACTCATCAAGTCTATAGTCTTAAGTCTCAAGTCTCAAGATATATCTTTGAGACTCATCAAGTCTATAGTCTTAAGTCTCAAGTCTCAAGAATATATCTTTGAGACTCATCAAGTATATGCTTGAGATATATGTCAGATTGATTCTGATTCTTATGGGATGGGACATGTTGGTTGTTCAGTCTCATTTTCCTGAACTCAAATTTTAAAAATGGTTTTAATGTAGGATTCGGTAACTGGCGTCGTAGGTTCAGGCAGCAGTGTGCCAGAACTAAGTTGTACCAGCTCACAAGAGCCAATCGGTACATTTGCCAGGAATTTTGTGAGTTAACGCATCACAGCCATTGTTAGAAATTGAAAATGCAAACCTATAATTAAATAGATGGTATTAAAAACAGCACTGGTAAATACTCCAAACATAGCACTTGCTAATTATTTTACTGCATGTTACTGTTATCTGTGCTCTTGAGGTTGTTTATATCTGTGTGTATCTGCGTGGCGGATGTACTGTGTTTATCAGTGTCAAGTGGTGCCTTGAAATTCGTCACGGTGAGAGTATTTACAACACGGGAATCAGCAAGTGCTACAAGCAGGGCTTACTGCATTGCACTGTTGATTGTTTAGACTTAAGAAAGTGATGCAGAAAATATTCGCACAATGCAGATTAAATTTAAAAGATTCTAATATCTATATCTGTTATGTTGTGAATAGCACAAAAATACGAGGGATTATTCTTCCAGTGTTTGAAAAGTATCTGATTCAGCAAAGAGATCTCCCACATCATTGATCATTGAACCGAGTTCTAACGTGTATCTTCAACGTTCCGCTTTCATCCTGGTCTTAAATAAAATATCAACTAACAGTCACACCTGAACGACACTGTTTAGGCGGTTACCACCATAGTTTGGCAACTGTTTGAAAAGTCTGGCAAAAATCAACAAACGTATTCTATGAGAATAAGTTGAATGTGTGGAATTTAAAATAAAAAAATTTGTATTTTATTCTTTGTAGATTGCAACACATCTTTTATATCGGTAAAATTGTATAAATAAGCATATGCATACACATGTATATATATGCATGTAATATGCATGTGTGTGTGTGTTTGTGTACATACACATATCTATAAACACACACATGCATACATTTTTCTCAAGAGAGCTGGTTGAGAAAAAGGGTAGCATGCTATTCTATTGGCCTTGATTTTGGCCTTGATTTTGGCATCCTTTATGGAGAGAGAGTATATAAAGGGAAGATGTGAGTTTGTGTATTGGCTTTGCTAATTGCTAAAGACGGGGTTTGAACCCAGGCTATTCTCAGAACTCATAGCCTGAGCGAGGCTCCGAATGGCCAATGAATCACATCCGTTTTGAACGCCCTCAGCCTGTTGCATCTCAGTGTGTGTTGTTGAGGGACAAAGAGTGTCAAAAAAGTGACTGAGGCTGGATGCGGTGGCTCACGCCTGTAATCCCAGCACTCTGGGAGGCTGAGGCAGGAGGATCAATTGAGCTCAGGAGTTCGAGACCAGTCTGAGCAAGAGCGAGACCCCGTCTCTACTATAAATAGAAAGAAATTAATTGGCCAACTAAAAATAGATAGAAAAAAGTTAGCCGGGCATGGTGGCGCATGCCTGTAGTCCCAGCTACTCGGGAGGGAGGCTGAGGCAGGAGGATCTCTTGAGCCCAGGAGTCTGAGGTTACTGTGAGCTAGGCTGACACCACGGCACTCACTCTAGCCTGGGCAACAGAGTGAGACTCTGTCTCAAAAAAAAAAAAAAAAAAAAAGGAATAAATATGGCAGCATGTTGATGATGTCATCGCCAATCAATTAACCAAATACCAGGTGTGATTAACGTTCCAAGACACAGCGTGGTGGAAGCCTAGGAAATGTTGGCGTTGCATCCAAAACAGTCATAGATTGCAAATTTAGCAACCCCCTTTGGGACAATCCAAAGCTCTTTAAGTTATTTTGTAATATCCATTCAACTATGGGCGGCTCCCGCCATTGCAGCTTGCGGGTAATTTCTTCACTTTGTGAAAAGTTCCCTGTGGCTTTCTTTGGACCTCGGGCAGAGGGGTAGGCACGTTCTGAAGCCAAGTCACAGAATATCACGGCCCACCTGTAAGGTCCGCAAGGCAAGGACAGCTCAGCTGTCCTCAGACCCGTGGCCCCAGCACTTTTTTTGCACGATGCCCGTCACACCCGAGACACTTGATGATGTCTATTAAATCATAGAGTGGTCGCTAACCATTGAGACCGGGAGTGAATAGGAGCAGGGATGTGTATTTGTTCCCACCTGTAAATCTGGGAACAGTATCTACACATAGACGACCCCACTTCATGACCGAGACTTCCTTTGAGCGATCGAGAGGTGCTAACATAAATTCCAGGTATTGGCCTATTGAATACACCTCTCACATCTGGATTTGACCTTCTGAAACCTCGGGTGTTATCTTTAGATAAACTGGGAAGGCAAGTTCAAGATCAGCAAATTCCGATTAGGGAACCAACGGAAATGTGAGAACAGAGAATCTGACCTTCAGAATTTTAAAACATTAACGGTTAATAATTTGAAAATGTTACCCTCCCCTGTCCAGACGCGTGTGCCATTTTGCAGTATTTTTTCTTTAGTCCCATAAATAAGTGAATTAAATATGGCTTTACAAATCACAAAGCAGAGCCCAGCCCGGGGTTAAGGCACCCACAAAGTGACTCGGGTTATATCCCATTTTGCAGTTGGAGAAGTTGGGGCCCGAGAGAGGTCACGTGACTCGCACAGACTCACACAGGTACTCTGGGGTTCTTAGATTCTTGGAACTTACATTGACTGATGGATTGATTGACAGAGTCTCACTCTGTGGCCTGGGCTAGAGTGCCGTGGCGTCAGCCTCGCTCACAGCAACCTCCAACTCCTAGGCTCAAGTGATCCTCCTGCCTCAGCCTCCGAGTAGCTGGGACTACAGGCATGCGCAACCTGCGGCCTATTTTTTTTTTATATTTTTAGTTGGCCAATTAATTTCTTTCTATTTTTTAGAGACGGGTCTCACCTCTTGATCAGGCTGGTCTTGAACTCCTGACCTCGAGCCATCCCCCCGCCTCGGCCTCCCAGATTTGCTAGGATGACAGGCGTGAGCCACCGCACACGCCCGGCCAGACCTTACGTTTTTATACACCGTGCCCATTTAAATGTTCGTTGACTTGAAGGTAACGTTCACTTTCTTTTTTCCCCTCCTCACATCCAGACTCGTGAATTACTCTTGCAACCTCGCCCCGGTCCGTCCGGAAGCAAGGAACGCATCGCACAATGCGCCAAGAACCCAGTGGCGATTTGGGTCTTGGACCCCGGTGCAGACTAGACGGGAGGACGATGCGAAAGAGCGGGAGCAGGGGACAGGTTCCTCATGCATACGGCCGTGTCATGCCACCAGCCAGGAAGGGGCCATGTCCCATCACACATGAGCACGGCTCTGTCCCCCCCCCGTGCTCCAGCCCTGCGCCAAAGCGCCGAATCGCGATCACGTCAGCCTGCCGGGACGAGGACGGCTCGGTGGCCGCCGAGAGCGCTTGTGCCACGCTGCCCAGGCCGGTGGCAAAGGAGGAAGTGCTCGTGGCGCCTGCGGCAGATGAAGTGCCTTGGACTGGAGCTCTGTGAGCACCGCCGGCGCCCTCGGGAATTGCGGAGGGGATCGGGAACTTTGCGGGGCTGGGGGGAGGAAGAGTGGGGGAGGGGTGTCCCGAATCCCAAAGGGGGTAGTGTTGGATGTGGCTTGTGGTTTAAATTACTCGCTCCACATGTATGCAGCTGGCCCAGTGTGCCAGGAATCCCAGCCAGGTGTGCCAGGAATCCTAGACAAGTGTGCAAGGAATCCTAGACAAGTGTGCAAGGAATCCCAGCCAAGTGTGCAAGGAATCCTAGACAAGTGTGCCAGGAATCCCAGCCAGGTGTGCCAGGAATCCCAGCCAAGTGTGCAAGGAATCCTAGACAAGTGTGCCAGGAATCCCAGCCAGGTGTGCAAGGAATCCCAGCCAGGTGTGCAAGGAATCCCAGCCAAGTGTGCCAGGAATCCCAGCCAAGTGTGCAAGGAATCCCAGCCAAGTGTGCCAGGAATCCCAGCCAAGTGTGCAAGGAATCCCAGCCAGGTGTGCCAGGAATCCTAGCCAAGTGTGCAAGGAATCCCAGCCAAGTGTGCAAGGAATCCCAGCCAAGTGTGCCAGGAATCCCAGCCAGGTGTGCCAGGAATCCCAGCCAAGTGTGCCAGGAACACACATTTTTAAAAATATGTGCAGATCAATTTACAATCTGCTCGAGTGCCCGCCCCTCCTGCTGGGCGGTTGGGAAACCCAGTCTTCGCTGAGCCGCATCACGATGTCATGGCGTGTAAAGGACCGAAAGGGGCAGGAGAGTGAGGGAGGGGCGCCTGCTTTGAGTCTGGGCCCCTCGAGTAAAGCGACTCTTGCTTTCCCTGCCAAGAGTGGGAAGTGGGAATGTTTACCCCGCGCTGTGAGCCCAGCCTCTTGCCCACACCAAGCACCATCTGCGGGTTTTTTTTTTATAAAAGCGGAAGAACCTTTGTCTTCAAGCAACTTCTGCTCTCTGTCCTGCAAAAATCCCAGAGTCTAGGAAATAGCTTAGGATATAGGTGGGAAGAGAGCAAAAGGAAAACGGAGATTAATAGCTCGATGAATATCGTAATAGATACATGAAAGTTGAGAGGTGCAATAAAATAGAGCTGTATAAAACCCAGACCTTGGCATTTACTGGTTGCATGACCTTGAGCAATTTGGTTAAAGTCCTTGATTCTCAGTCTCCTCTGCTCTCAAAAGAAGGCCAAAAAGAATAATCTACTTTACAAAGTTGTTAGGATTATTTGAGATTATATGTGTTAAATGCTTAGGGGAAAGTAGGTACTCAGTAAATGGTGGATAATCTCATTCTAATGCCTTGATCCTCCAAACACTGATCCATCCATCCATCCATGCATCCATCCATGCATCCATCCATCCATCCATCCATCCATCTATCCATCCATCCATCTATCCATCCAGCTATCCATCCATGCATCCATCCATCCATGCATCCATCCATCCATCCATCCATCCATCCATCCATCCATCCATCCATCTATCCATCCATCTATCCATCCATCTATCCATCCATCCATCCATCCATCTATCCATCCATCCATCCATCTATCCATCCATCCATCCATCCATCTACCCATCCATCCATCAGTTCATCTTCTATCCTTTCTGTCTTCTCACCAGATATTTGTGAAAGCTTACTATAGAAATAGCAGTGAACAACGAATGCCAAAGTCTCTGCCTTGATGAAGATTATCCCAATAGAGGGCCTAGTCAGTGAGCAAATAAAGAAATATATACTGTAGCACCAGGTGCATTGGAAATTACTAGATGGAAGTCAAGAAGAGCAATGGCTCAGAGAGAGACAGGAGGTGGCTTCAGATGGGGCGGTCAGGAAGGCCTGATGTTGACCAGGACCTGACTGAGATGAGGGAATGAGCCACACGGGTACCTTAGTGACATTGCAAAAGGTACCGCAGCTGTGAAGTCCCCAAGATGGGAGAGTTCTTGGCACGTTCTAGAAGCATCCACAAGGCCAGTGGGGCTGGAGAGCATGAGAAGAGAGGGATAGGAGATGAGACCACGGGCGTCCAGGGGCTACATCATACAGAACCTAGTGGGTCAAGATAAGGATTTTGGATGTCACTCTGAATGAACCGGGAAGTCGCCGGAGGGGCAACATGCTTTGAGTTTGGTGGTCACGGGCCGTGTTTTCGGGGGGTGCCAACCAAGGCCAGGGGCAGGCGCTCAGCTGAAAGGCGGTGGCGGCAGTCCTGGCCTAGGGGAGTGACGCGTCAAAACTGGAGAGGTGACCATGCAGACCGTGAGAAGTGGCTGGATTTGGGGACATGTCCTGAGTCCCTCGCCCGACGGGATTTGTCACCGCACGGGACACGGGGCAGGAAGGAAAGGGGACGCCAAGAGGGCGGTGCCGAGGTTTCTGGCCCGAGCGCCTGGGGACAGCGGGCTGGGCCGTTTGCAGAAATGCACGTTCGGGAATCTTCGCCCTCCGGACCGAGAGTGACCGACCCCTCTCCTCCCTCTCTCTCTCTCTCTGACCGTTGGCGGCAGTGCTCTGTGACGTGCGGGCAGGGCAGGGCCACCCGGCAGGTGGTCTGCGTGAACTACGGCGACCGCGTAATCGACCGGAGCGAGTGTGACCCGGACGACATGCCGGACACCGAGCAGGACTGCGCCATGTCCCCGTGTCCGCAGCGGGCCCCCAACGGCCGCTCGACTCAGCACCCCTCCCAAAACGCGGACTATCGCCCCCGGAGCCCCAACCCCAGCCGCACCCACGTGCTCGGGGGCAACCAGTGGAGAACGGGCCCCTGGGGAGCAGTAAGTATCCGCTGACGACTTTCCCTAAGTCGCTTTGCTTGGGACCCCCCTCCCTGGGTGCTCAGGTGGCCGTGAGGAGTCCTGGAGGCGACAGGTAGCGAGTCCCTGTAGGAGAATTAAGAGGACAGGGAGGCCGGGCGCGGTGGCTCACGCCTGTCATCCCAGCACTCTGGGAGGCCGAGGCTCGAGGATCGCTCAAGGTCAGGAGTTCGAGACCAGCCTGAGCAAGAGCAAGACCCCTGTCTCTACTAAAAAAAAAAAAAAAAAAAAATAGAAAGAAATTAATTGGCCAAGTAAAAATATATAGAGAAAAAAATTAGCCGGGCATGGTGGCGCATGCCTGTAGTCCCAGCTACTCTGGAGGCTGAGGCAGGAGGATCGCTTGAGCCCAGGAGTTGGAGGTTGCTGTGAGCGAGGCTGACGCCACGGCACTCACTCTAGCCCGGGCAACACAGTGAGACTCTGTCTCAAAAAAAAAAAAAAAAAAAAAGGACAGAGAAACTTTTCTGGAAAGGAATTCTTAATGAAAATCGCTTCCCTTCTTAGTATTTTGCAGCCTCAAAGTGGCATGGTGTCATTTGCGGTAGACTGTTGTCATGGTTTCGGGGGGTGGGGGGAAATACTAGTCTAGGTAAGATTTGTCCTTAGGAGAGAAATGCCACAACCTAATGACGCCAGCCCTGGCTCTGGGGGAGCATGCCTCAGTGGGATCCAAAGCCTGGATACTTTTAAATTTGGGGACCTCAGCCACTTCCCCCTCTCCTCTTTGAGCCTCAGTTTCCTCATCTGTAAAAGGATGATAACAGTAATGCCTGCTTTCTTGGGGGGTTGTAGGAATTCAACAATACAATGCCAATAGAGCGCTTTGCACGCTGCCTGCCGCAAAGAAATTAATAAATGTTGACAGTCGTCTTTCTTATTATCATTCTCATTATATCTATCCTTCAGATTAGGAAGTTCGGCCGGGCGCGGTGGCTCCCGCCTGTCGTCCTAGCACTCTGGGAGGCCGAGGCAGGAGGATCGCTTGAGCTCAGGAGGTCAAGGCAAATCAGGAAGGCCTTGAAAAAATATTTAATATCAAAAAAGAAAAATGTGCTTTGGAATGTTTTAGATTTTTTACTGAATAAGTTTTCTAACCACCCCCCTCCCCCCAAAAAATTTGTCGTGGATATTGGACGTGTGTCATGGCACTCCGGGAAGAGTAAAGTAGCAAGGGGCCTTGGGTAGTGACGTAGTTTGGTGCTTGCTAATCATTCAGGGGTCTTCTTTTTAATTGTTGACTGTTTACTTCTAGTACTGCTGGAAGTTAATTGTTTACTTGCTAGAATTGTTTAATTGCTAGAAGTTAATTGTTTACTTCTAGTCCTGCTAATTCTGTTTAAGTATTTCTGCACCAAAAAGAGTTGGAAGTTGGCTGTCTGTTTCCCACTGGGGTCTTGTTCCAGTAAACTAGATGTGCTGTCCCTTAAATACTAATTAGCCACTGCCATGTGTCCCCACGGCCAGCTCCATGCAGGGCAGCTCAGGTCACCCAGTCCCCTCTCTCTTGCCTCCCACTTTGAGGCTCCTTTTGCCTGGGCCAGAAAGGATTTCGGTTCTAAGAAATAAAAGTGTAAACAGATGAGTTAATCACAGAGGGTCCCATGCGTTTTCCTGGCTGAAAAAATTCAAAACTCACGCATGTGCATTCTAAAGATAGCACTAGGATTTAAAAAAAAAAAAAAAAAAACAGTGAAATCATATTCTTATTTAGGGCCACATTTGGGAATGATGCAGTCCTTTAAGACTGAATGATTGTGCCCCGGGGCGGAGTTCTTAATTAGGGAGGGTTAGGTAAGCTTTTTGTTAACAATGGGTGAGACCTTTCTTTTCCTCAGCTGTGCCTGGTTTTTGTTTGGGGATTTTTTTTTTCTTTCCTAAGTGGAGTGAGGCTGACGCTGGACAATGGGATTTTCAGGCCTTATGGGACAAGTGTGACCTACACCAAGAGCATGAAGGATGTACATGCATCTTTGCATTGTACAGAACACACACTGTACCTGGTCTCCCTGCCTTTGGTGGCAGAAAAAGGCAGCAAAATATCATAAACACTTAGAGAATAGCAATCAAGTTTTTCCATGATTTCTGGAGTCAGAACTTGACTTTACAGTAGATTTCTGCATAAACTTGAACCCTCTGCGAGTTTTTCCCTAATGTTACCAATTAGGGGTTTTGCAAACAATAGAAAAGAAACCGACTCTCTCACGTTGCAAGAAAAACAAACAAACTGAAACTGCTCATTTAGCCCCAGTAGGAATGGGAGGGGCCAGAGCCTCTTTAGGGATCTAGCTCAAGGGGTTGGCAAAGTTTTTTCTGCAAAGGGGCAGATAATAAATCTTTTCAGCTGTGTGGACCAAACTGATCCACTCTGTTGTTTACAGCATTAAAAGCAGCCGTGGACAGTGTGTGAATGAGTGGGCACCACTGCGTACCAATAAAACTTTATTTGTAAGAACAGGTGGCAGGCCAGATTGGGCCTTTGGGCTAAGGTTTGCCAACCCTTGGTCTCCAGAGAGGGGTGACTAAGGGACAATTTCTTTAGGCAGTTTCTGTCTCAATGAATCTCTTCCAGCTCTGTACCACCCTTGAGTTATTTGGCTGAGGATTCATTCAAATTCCCAGGGAGGGGTCTGATTGCCCTCCCCCTGGGCAGGAAGGGGCAGAATATCATGATAGGTAGACCAAGATGGCAGCTACCAAGGGGAGGATGGGTTATTTTAAGGAAAAATTGGGCTGCCAGATGGAAGGGGAAGTGTGTTAGACAGGTAGGAAAAATGAATATTCCCTCACCCTTTCCTTCCCGAAAGACCAGTCTCCCTTGTCGTGTCTAGTCTAGATGACAAATCTCATTTACGTTTTCACTAATAGGTGCCGGGTTTGTTCAAAGAAATCTTTTACCTGGGAAAATGTTATCATCTAAAGCAGACGGGAGCCCTGTCGGCAAAAGAAGTCCAGAGGGACAGTCTGCAACATGGGGATGGGACTGAGAATCCGTTGTAATCAAATAATGGCAAAAGTAGACCCCCCCCCCCAGAGAAAGATTATGTGCGACACTTCTCCTGTCTATGGGGTGTAAAGACTTAAGCCGGCCTGGGATTCGGAAAGTGCGAGAATGTGCAGTGAGAACTGAGCACAGTGGCTCACACCTGTGATCCCAGCTACTCAGGAGGCCCAGGCGGGAGGCTCGGGCAGATCACTGGAGCCTCAGGAGTTTGAGGCTCGGTGAGCTGTGTTCGAGCCACTGCATTCTAGCCGGGGTGGCAGAGCGAGACCCCGTCTCTGAGAAACCAAAAGCACGTGCAGCTCAACTGCTTGGTTCCGCCTGAGAGCCATCTGCAGTGCGTCACGTGACTCAGTAGGAAGGTCTGATTGGTCACTGGGCGGTCACTGCACATGGGCTGGCCTTGGGTCACGTGTCCGTCTTGCTCCAGTCAGCCATGTTGGAGGGCAAGTGTCACGTGATTTCTGGAGCTTTTCCTTCCGGTAACTCATGGGACCAGGCGGCAAGTCCCGTGACCCGGCATGATAGGGGATCATGGGGACATAACGGCGGTCCCCAACCTTTTGGGCACCAGGGACCGTTTTCCTCAAAGGCAACTTGTCCGCAGACCAGGGAGGCTGGGGGTGGTTTCGGGATGATTCTAAGGGCATTCCATTTATTGTGCATTTTATTTCCATTACTATTACATTGTGATATACAATGAAATCATTGTACAGCTCGCCATAGCTTGGGGACCCATGAGTTATATATAGCATGGAGCCCTTCCTGGAAGGAAGTCTAACCATTTCACTGGGGGCAATAAAGTTCACAGGTGACATCCTAAAGGAATGATACAAGCTTATATTTTCAAGGGAAAAACTCAAGGGCCGAAGTATAGATGGCAGGTCTATGCGCACAACATGGAAGTCACTTTCTGACGTTTTAAATTGTGGTCCCCAGACAGAGCTAATTAAAATGACAGTTCTCTGTCCTAAGCTGGTTTTCTCGGACAGAGCTAATACATCTCTTATCCTGCTCCACGTTTTAAGAATTATACCCATTGTAAAATGAAATTGTAGATGTTGATTAGGGTGCATCTTCTAAGTCACTTATAGCTTGACCAGCGTAGGCAGGGACATCGAACAGTCGTCCAGTGTAGTCAGAAACAAAGGGTAGTCACGTCTTGATACGGAAGAAGCTGATTAGCAAGGAGCATGATCTGAGCAGAGTTTGGAATAATACCAGTTTGAGCGAAGGTTGCATAGACAGCACGAGTCAGCCTTCAGAACCTGGAGCTAAAAACACGCTTTTGCAAAGAAATGCAGCTTGAGTCCTGATAGTTCCTGGGAAATGCGTTGCTTTGAGGACCAGATGGTTCTTTTACAGGCAAACCGATTTTACAGCTGAAGAGTCAGCGTGCAGGATACCAGCAAACACATTGGGTTTGGAAAGATAAGGACGTTATGGAAACGAAAAACACACACACACACACACACGCACACTCCAGGTGTAGATGAATAACAGACTGTGAGAAGCTGCTGTGGGAAATGAACTGAAATGCAAACATGAAACGATGAACGACCACGAGAGAGAGGCCGTGTGTGTGTTAGAACCGAAAGTACAGCTCAAGGGACGGTTGCCCAGATGGGTTGCAGCTAAGTTCACTGGGGAAGCGAAAAATAAATAAAACAGATCGTGCCACCATTAGCCACTGAAGTTTTAGGCTGTTTGTTGTAAAGGGAGAGAGAGGACCATTTATCTTGTAGGCCAGGTGTCCTCAAACTACAGCCCGAGGGCCACATGGGGGCCACCTAGCACATTTATCCGGCCCTCCTCTGGGTGTGTGTTTTTGCCGCCGCTGCCTGTCCTGCTTAGCAGCCGACTCGTCCCGGGCCCACAGTGTGCACACTCCAACGGTCTCGGGGACAGTGAGCTGGCCCCCCGGTTTACAAAGTTTGAGGACCCCCTGATCTAGGCAGTGATGTCTTAAGTGGCATGCCGTGATGTTTTCCTGGAGTAATTGCATGAGTTCTTCCAGAATCTTCGTTTCCGCCACTGGCAACTCGCTAAGCGTGTAATAGGACCTCCGTGTTGAGGGAGAAGTCAGATATTGGTTCTCAGTAGGCTCTTGGAGTTTAGAAGAGAAAAGGATTCAAGTAAACCGTGGTGTACGCCAACACCTCCCGTAAGCCCCCCCCCTGTCTTGAGATGCAGAGGGGATAAAGGGAGGGTGTTAATGGGCCAGGCTTTGGAAGTCAAGGTGTTGTCACTCGTGGGAACTTATGACCCCGCCCCGTGGCCTGGAGCCGTCCAGAGGGGAGCCCCATCCGCCCTGCCTCGACAGGTGTGTTATATCCTGCGGCACCTGGACGGCCCCGCTGCAGGGAGTTCTCGGAGACCATGCAGCCTCGGGGTCCCGCCGATGGCTGAGGACGGCTCTCATCACGTGTGTGTCTGGCCTCCTCCACCACCGCTGCTCCCTGTGTCCGCAAGGCTGAGAGGGGGTGGGGCCTAACTTGCCGGCTGCGTGTTTAGTGTTGCCAGCACCTGTGCGGCGGGTCCCAGCGGCCGGTCGTCGTGTGCCAGGACGCAGAACGGGTACGCCGCCCACGGACTGCGTGAGAGGATCAAGCCGGACGAGCAAGACCCTGTGAATACCGCCGTGTCCTCAGGGCGCTACGGCCAGCTGGGGCGAGGTGAAGAGGGAACGCTCCCCAAACACGCCGCAGCGATGGTGCTGGCCCGACGGTAGCTCGCCCCTGTCTTGGCTTTAAGGAAAGGAAGGGACAGCTCTGGTAACAGCTTCTGATTTGGGAGTAACCAGGAGACCCTTTAACTAATTCTGGCTATGTAAAGTACATTCACGGGGCCGGGCACGGTGGCCTCACGCCTGTCAATCCAAAAAAAAAAAAAAAAGAAAAAAAAAAACAAAAAATAAAAATAAAAAACACAAAAAAAAAAAAGAAAAAAAGAGAAAAAGAGAAAACAAACAAACGAAATAGCACTCTGGAGGCCGAGACGGGACCCGGATCGCTCGAGTCAGGAGTTCGAGACACAGCCTGAGCAAGATCAGAGACCCCCGTCTCTACTAAAATAGAAGAATTAATCTGGCCAACTAAAAAACTATAAAAAAATTAGCCGGGCTCGGTGGCGCATGCCTGTAGTCAGCTACTCGGGAGGGCTGAGGCAGGAGATTCTGAGCCCAGGAGTCTGAGGTGCTGTGAGTGAGGGCTGACGCCACGGCACCTCCACTCTACGCCCGGGCACAGAGTGAGACTGCTGTCTCACAAAAAATAAAATAAAATAAAGTAACTTTCGACGCACAACGCAGCGCAAGCTTGAACTACATAAGGAAGAAAACAAGGGAAGGAGTCTGATAACATATCCAGGTTTAAAGTTGTTTGTTCCATACTCTGCGATCGATTAAAATGAGGGGGTGCTTTTAAAGTGATTGAAAACATGGATTCAAGTTGGCCGCCATGGAAGTCTGGCCTCTTCTGCGTAGTTTTGGGGGTGTGTGGTACACCTTGAGTTGCCATGGCAATAATGTCCGCCCAGATTGCCAAAGTCCTGGTGAAGGCAAGAATAATAAGGGGTAATTTATTCTTCCTGGGAAAGATGATGTTTTCATTGATTCTCAGTGGAGACATTGCCTGTATAAGTCTCCAAATATGACATTCTTCAGCTGTTAACCTTTCCAGAGTTGCTTGCTGGACCAATACAGGAAGTGCAGTATTTGGTGCACCACGACAAAACTGCGTCCCATCCCAGCGCCTGCCTCTTCCCAAACTGTGAACGTTGGCGAATATGTTCGCTTTTCCCGGTGTTTCTATCCCTGATCTGCCAGCTGGGGGTGTATGCAGCGCCACTTCGCAGTCTTCATGGCTGTGATGTCGACGTAGTGCCTGTCACATGTAGCCAACACAGGCGATTGATTAACTGCTATTATATAAGAATGATCGTTTGTCCGCAGACCAGGGAGGCTGGGGGTGGTTTCGGGATGATTCTAAGGGCATTCCATTTATTGTGCATTTTATTTCCATTACTATTACATTGTGATATACAATGAAATCATTGTACAGCTCGCCATAGCTTGGGGACCCTTGAGTTATATATAGCATGGAGCCCTTCCTGGAAGGAAGTCTAACCATTTCACTGGGGGCAATAAAGTTCACAGGTGACATCCTAAAGGAATGATACAAGCTTATATTTTCAAGGGAAAAACTCAAGGGCCGAAGTATAGATCGCAGGTCTATGCGCACAACATGGAAGTCACTTTCTGACGTTTTAAATTGTGGTCCCCAGACAGAGCTAATTAAAATGACAGTTCTCTGTCCTAAGCTGGTTTTCTCGGACAGAGCTAATACATCTCTTATCCTGCTCCACGTTTTAAGAATTATACCCATTGTAAAATGAAATTGTAGATGTTGATTAGGGTGCATCTTCTAAGTCACTTATAGCTTGACCAGCGTAGGCAGGGACATGGAACAGTCGTCCAGTGTAGTCAGAAACAAAGGGTAGTCACGTCTTGATACGGAAGGAGCTGATTAGCAAGGAGCATGATCTGAGCAGAGTTTGAGCATAATATTAGTTTGAGCTAAGGTTGCATAGACAGCATGAGTCAGCCTTCAGAACCTGGAGCTAAAAACACGCTTTTGCAAAGAAATGCAGCTTGAGTCCTGATAGTTCCTGGGAAATGCGTTGCTTTGAGGACCAGATGGTTCTTTTACAGGCAGACCGATTTTACAGCTGAAGAGTCAGCGTGCAGGATATCAGCAAACACATTGGGTTTGGAAAGATAAGGACGTTATGGAAACGAAAAACACACACACACACACATGCAAACATGAAACGATGAACGACTATGAGAGAGAGGCCGTGTGTGTGTTAGAACCGAAAGTACAGCTCAAGAGACGTTTGCCCAGATGGGTTGCAGCTAAGTTCACTGGGGAAGCGAAAAATAAATAAAACAGATCCTGCCACCATTAGCCACTGAAGTTTTAGGCTGTTTGTTGTAAAGGGAGAGAGAGGACCGTTTATCTTGTAGGCCAGGTGTCCTCAAACTACAGCCCGAGGGCCACATGGGGGCCACCTAGCACATTTATCCGGCCCTCCTCTGGGTGTGTGTTTTTGCCGCCGCTGCCTGTCCTGCTTAGCAGCCGACTCGTCCCGGGCCCACAGTGTGCACACTCCAACGGTCTCGGGGACAGTGAGCTGGCCCCCCGGTTTACAAAGTTTGAGGACCCCCTGATCTAGGCAGTGATGTCTTAAGTGGCATGCCGTGATGTTTTCCTGGAGTAATTGCATGAGTTCTTCCAGAATCTTCGTTTCCGCCACTGGCAACTCGCTAAGCGTGTAATAGGACCTCCGTGTTGAGGGAGAAGTCAGATATTGGTTCTCAGTAGGCTCTTGGAGTTTAGAAGAGAAAAGGATTTCAAAATAAACCGTGGTGTCCGCCAACACCTCCGTACCTGTCTGAGATGCAGAGGGGATAAAGGGAGGGTGTTAAATGGGCGGCTTTGGAAGTCACAAGGTGTTGTCACTCGGTGGGCAATTATGAACCCCCCCCCCCGTGGGGGGCCTGGAGCGTGCCAGAGGGGAGCCCCATCCTGCCTGCCCTCCAGGTGTGTTTATATCCTGCGCACCTGGACGGCCCCGCTGCAGGGAGTTCTCGGAGACCCTGACAGCCTCGGGTCCCCGCCGGATGGCTTGAGGACGCTTTCCATCACGTGTGTGTCTGGCCTCTCCACCCGCTGCTCCTCTGTGTCCCCAAGGCTGAGAGGGCGGTGGCGCTAACTTGCGGCTGCGTGTTTAGTGTTCCAGCACCTGTGCCGGCGGGTCCCAGCGGCGGGTCGTCGTGTGCCAGGACGAGAACGGGTACGCCGCCCACGACTGCGTGGAGAGGATCAAGCCGGACGAGCAGAGAGCCTGTGAATCCGGCCCGTGTCCTCAGTGGGCCTACGGCAGCTGGGGCGAGGTGAGAGGGGGACCCGCTCCCCAAACCACGCGCAGCGATGGTGCTGGCCCGACGGTAGCTCGCTCCCTGTCTTGCTTTAAGGAAGGAGGGACTAGCTCTGGTAGAAGCTTCTGGATTTGGGAGTAACCAGGAGACCTTTAATAATTCTGGACTATTTGTAAAGTACACTTACGGGGCCGGGAGCCGTGGCTCACGCCTGTCATCCTAGCACTCTGGGAGGCCGAGACGGGAGGATCGCTCGAGGTCAGGAGTTCGAGACCAGCCTGAGCAAGAGCGAGACCCCCGTCTCTACTATAAATAGAGAGAAATTAATTGGCCAACTAAAAAAATATAAAAAAAAATTAGCCGGGCGTGGTGGCGCATGCCTGTAGTCCCAGCTACTCTAGAGGCTGAGGCAGGAGGATCGCTTGAGCCCAGGAGTTGGAGGTTGCTGTGAGCGAGGCTGACGCCACGGCACTCACTCTAGCCCGGGCAGCAGAGTGAGACTCTGTCTCACAAATAATAAAATAAAATAAAGTACACTTATGACCACTAAGAGGCAAGCTGAATACATAGGAGAAGAAAACAAGGGAAGAATCTGATAAAATCAGGTTTAAAAGTTGTTTGTTCATCTCTGATGATTAAAAAAATGGGGGGTGCTTTTAAAGTGATTGAAAACATGGATTAAGTTGGCCCATGGAAGTCTGGCCATCTTCTGCGTAGTTTTGGGGTGTTTGTGGTACACCTTAGTTGCCATGGCATAATGTTGTCCCCTCAGATGCCAAAGTCCTGGTGAAGGCAGAATAAATAAGGGTAATTATTCTTCCTGGGAAAGATGATGTGTTTTCATTGTAGAAGTGCAGAATTGCCTGTATAGTCTCAAATAATGACATTCTTCAGCTGTTAACCTTTTCAGAGTTGCTTGCTGGACCAATACAGGGAAGTGCAGTATTTGGGACAGACAAAACTGCGTCCCATCCCCAGCCCTGCCTCTTCCAAACCTGTGACCTTGGCGAATAGTGTGTCGCTTTGCCAGGTGTTTCTATCCTGATCTGCCAGTGGGGGTGATGACAGCCCCAACTTCCCAGTCTTCATGTTGCCAGGTGTTTCTATCCTGATCTGCCAGTGGGGGTGATGACAGCCCCAACTTCCCAGTCTTCATGGCTGTGATTCGACGTAGTGCCTGTCACATGCCTAGCACACAGGCGCCATTGATTAACTGCTATTATAATAATGCATTCATAATTAATGTTAATAATAGTCACTAATAGTACTATTATTATTAAATGGGTTTGGTTTTGGTTTTCTTTTTTGAGACAGAGTCTCACTTTGTTGCCCAGGCTAGAGTGATGGCCGTGGCGTCAGCCTCGCTCACAGCAACCTCCAAACTCCTGGGCTTAAGCGATCCTCCTGCCTAAGCCTCCCGAGTAGCTGGGACTACAGGCATGCGCCCATCCGCCCGGCTCATTTTGTCTATATATATTAGTTGGCCAGTTAATTTCTTTCTATTTATAGTAGAGATGGGGTCTTGCTCTTGCTCAGGCTGGTTTCGAACTCCTGACCTTGAGCGATCCTCCCGCCTCGGCCTCCCAGAGTGCTAGGATTACAGGCCGTGAGCCACCGCGCCTGGCCTAAATGGGGCTTTGAGCCCCTATTATACCTATTACATATCAGGCTTAGATGCTTACTATTCTATGTTCAATTTATCGTGTTTCCCCGAAAATAAGACAGGGTCTTATATTTTTTTTCCTCAGAAGCACCCTAGTAGAGACTTAATTTCAAGGGGATGTGTTAATCTTTTTTTAAATACTTATCAACCATCTAATTGATTCAAATGAGTGAGTCGTCTCTTCTGGAACATAACATCCTCTCCAACCCCGAATCCCATCCTGAATGATCTTGTTCGGACTCCTATTTCCTTTTGAACACTGCCCCGATCTCTCCTGTCGAGCAACTAGAGCTCTTCAAGGGGCAGATGAGAGCGGCTGCCGTGTTTCTTTCCCGCTCGCGACGACATCGCTGGGTTGTGCAGATGCGCTGCGGTAGCCCACCCATCATCAGGGCTTATTTTCATAGCCACGCCGCGCTGGCTATACTAGGCGGCTTATTTTCATAGCCACGCCCACCACCAGGGCTTATTTTCGGGGTAGGGCTTCTATTGTGCACATGCTTAGAAATCCTGCTAGGGCCTTTATTTTGTAGTAAGGTCTTATTTTCGGGGAAACACGGTGTTATAATAATGTATTAATAATTACGTATTATAATATCTATCATTACATAGAGTAGTATTATGATTAAATGGGGGTTTGCAGCCCTATTATACGCTGTCGCCAGTACTGGGAGCGGCCTTAGT